AATAGTTTAAGCAATATTACAATTGATGCACTTCCAGTAGCATTGTGAGAGCACGTCACTGAGGTAGAACTGGTTACTTACTGTATTGTAGTGCTTCAGCTCCATACTTTAAATGTCTTAAGCAAAAGATTCTGTCTAGTATGATGTAAAACTCTTATGAATGGAGAACTGAGTGATGTATAAGGAAATAATGATGTTGTTCACAATCCACTCAAGACTTCTCTTAATTCAATTCACTAGACATAGACCAACATTATCATTCCCACCATTTTTTAGCTTCCGAAAACTATCCCTGAAATTCCGCGTCGAGGAAGATTACTCGGCTTGTGACTCCGGTTTGAACGTCCCACGAAAGCTGGCGGAGGCAAAGAGCTTTGTTTGTCTATATGGAGACAGTTGGGTGGTTTGTTCTGGAATTGGCAAGAGCTCGACGAAATAATGTAGCAACGAGCAAAGCGCAGCGTCACCCGTTCCGCTCCAGCACCGCCTATCGTATCCAGAACCTGCGGCCGATTGACTCCGCCCACATGAACTCCTGAAGAATTCGCGTGTCGACGATTAATTCCGAGGTCTACTGTATGTTTCAGGATTTCTTCCTACTGGTACTAATTTTTGATTGACGCTCGTTCTTGATCATGAAATTAATTATGAAAAAATAACTTCGTGTGAACTCATCCAGCTTACCAGGAACTTTTTTTTACCGAAAAATATCATCCCTACTGTCTATTCCTTTAATCACTTACGATTCATAAAAGTACTTTCTGTCAGGCGTGGTCTTCCAAAGTACTTGGCTATTCTTATTTTTGAATGGTTGAAGTTCTCTGGATTTTTTTTTTGCCTTTTATTGTGGAATAATTATCGAGTGATTCACTCAAGTTTCTCGGTACGTCTTTGCTATGTTTTTCTGGCAACTGACAATGTAGAGATTCAAGTGAAAATCTACGAATGCCAATATTTTTAAACAGTTGTCTTTTAAATCTACTTTGTTCGTTTGTATTTTTTTAACAACGCGCAGTGTTGGACAGAAGAAAAACGATTTCAGTAATTCCGAACTCAAATCGTTTGCGATGTTTCCCTCACTTCACTCCTTCCTAATCGTCCACGTAGAATTCATATAACTGTCATGAATCATGAAGAATTCCCCTTACTCACTCGATGCAATCTGAGCGCGATCTCTACGGATCAACATGAACTACCAAAGAATGGACTGATAAGGGAAAGAGGGCTTTTATCCACTACGCACACTATCCGTTGACGTCTTTTATAACGTAACATGCCACTTGTTATGATCTGCTGTAATACAAAACAGTTGATTGTTGTCCAGATACGAGGATTCCTTGGAAACTACCAAATTGTTTTTGCTTCCGTTTTGCTGATATCTTGTTAAGAAAGCGACGCTTTGGTGTTTGGACGAAAGGGGACGTAGTACGACAATTTTTCACTATTCTAACACTGATAAGTAGTGTTGCATGTACAACCACGTGGTTTCGGAGCTCCTGAGTTTTCGAGTTTTCCTCGTTTCTCAGCATCCTTGTGCTTGTGTTTCACTTTGCTAAGAAAGAAGAGCAGGCAGTATATGAAAATTTCAAACCTTTCACATCCTAGAAATCTATTTTCGGACAGGAATTTCGCACTTCTTAGAATACGCGCTCTAATCGCAATTGTGTTTTTAATGGAACATCAAGTAATTCAGTTTCCTTGATGAGCGGTCACGAGGTTGTTAACACCGAGATTTATTCAGTAGAGTATTGGCTGACGTTCTTGCGATTTCTCCTTCAAAGCCTGGAAGAGTGAAATTGACACTCGATCCACTCAGACACTTTTCATAATCTCTCAAAATAAAGCCTAATACTTGATTTATTCGCATAGTGAAGAGCTTCTCTTAAACCCTTACCGCTTTTTGTTTTCAAGTCCTCAATTTATTATTGGATACCAGCCACACAGAGTTTTACATGGGTGAGAAATGCGCCTGGCTCAGATCAAAAAATCGATCTGAAGTACGGCGGAAATCACGCGATAAGGCGGCTCTTTGCGGTTCATTTCTGGATTTTTGGTATTAATCTAGAAGCCTTCACGACTTTTAAGCACTGATGCTTCGGATTTCTCTCCGTCAATCATCAACCGTTTCCAAAAATATTGTGCATCTCTGATTTTCGAAATAACTGTGGTGAAGAGATGTTACGGCTGTTCTAGGCTTAGCTGCCTCTTCGTAATTGCGTTATGTATCAGTCCCTTTTAAGGAAACGGATATCAACGCATTATTTCCCAATACGCTCTAGCGGTTACGAATTTCACAATGCTCTCTTCAATAAGTAAACCAGTTAGCTCCCCTGAACGACTACAAGCGCTCCTAGTAGGTAAAAGAGAAGTCTAAATCACAGCAACAAAATGAGTTCGCATAGGGCCTAAATTCGCTATTAAGGAGTTTTTCACGACTGGCTTTATTTTTTCCAGTTAATGATTGCGTTCCAATTAGATATTTCATGCTGTTCTTATTTTAGTTCCCAACAGGGGCATAAGGCATCCATTCTTTCAATATTCTTCCTCTCTGCAGGTGGTGAAAGCTGTTGTCACAACACATATCTAGGTTTGTTTTACGTAATGACATACTCAGATCAGTTCCTTAGAGAACCACCAGCACTTTCCCACCCACGCATCTACTCCGCACTTCCATCAAGCCGGCCGGCCAGCTTTTTCCTCATCGGACATCGGGCGTTCCTTTTTCTACGCCTCCCATCCGCTGCGGTAGCGCTGTAATGTTGTGCTTCGCATGTGCTTATTTGACGCTTCTAGGTAGAGTCCTGTATCGCCATTCATTTCCAAGTCTGTCTATCACTGAACAGTCTAATCCATTAACTCGATCGATAGGCATGCCATATTTACTGCAGCAATTTTTCTATTTACATAGTTCCTCTACGGTAGATAAATACAATTTCGCTTTTCTTAATGAACCGAAAGGCAGTCTCAAGTGTTTAATGGTTCCATGTGACATTCGGGGCCGGTTTTATCATTGCTTGAACTCATGTCAGAGTAATTTTTTCCAATATCCGTCCTAAACTGTTATTTCTCACCAAATAATTTATTAGTTAGTGGAAACAAATATATGGTAGAATGCTTGCCGGAATGTGGTCGTCATGACTATTCTTTTTGAATTCGATTTTTGATTAACAAGAGTCTGCCGTGGTCCAGCGCGTATGAACCAACACCATTTTGTCGAAAGCCACAAATCTAAATGAATAACCTGTAGTATGGAAAGATTCTATTCTCAGTATGGCGTGTCCTTCCTTTACACGGCTAATTATGGTGATTATTGAGTTTTGACGATCTTGTGGGTATCGTTATAGTTCGAGGACATATGCTCCACCAACTCAGAGCCTTGAAAGGCACAGCGATGTTACACAAAACCCTCGGTAAGGTCTTTGCTTTCGGGTGACCTGCTGCTGCTGTTCTTTATAAGCGAACAGACATTCCCTGTCCTATACGCGCAAATATCGCTTACATAGTTGACCGACGTCCAACAACAATTTTTGAGCTCCTTAATGTTCTGAAGTGCTCTGCCGTTTAAGAGCTAATGAGTTTCTGTAGACAGCCTGATCTATTGTGTGTATTGAAGAATGTTGAAGATTCTTCTTTTCCGAATTTAAATCACTGCAATCTTAGAAGTGTAGTAACCAAGTTGTAGCACTATTTTAGCAACTTTATAATGTCTGACTGCCTAACCAGAGTTTTCTAAATCGGATTATTTCAACTATACTAAAGAGTGCATACGGTAGTTTTCCATCGTCGTTTCTCATACCGAACACGACGCTGTCGTTGGTCGAGTATTGTACGGTGCTGTTCCCATTCCAGTTCTAAAGTGTTGGCTATGCGGCAGAAAAAGCTGGAACAGAACGAACGACACGATTTGATCGTTTCTTCGTGGTGTCATTATTAGGGAAGCGCAATTGACCCCGATCCTGCAGTAACAACTACTGACGAACGCCGCACAACAGTTGAAACACCCACGATTCCTCATTTGCCGTCGCCGATGGGTAGCAATAAACGCGATTAAGAATGTCTAATTCTTATTGCAGAGCTTATCAATGGTTAGCCCGAGAGCATGTTCTAAACTAACTAAATCACTGAGTTCCGTTTGACATTTTATTCTATTAATCGTTTTCTCGGTGTTTGAACAACAACTTCCTCATACTTCAGACTTTTTCTAGAAGTCGCAAATACGACCTGTTAAGTAACACATACAACATTTCTGTGACTCCAATCGATGTGAAATGATGCAGTTTTCGATTGCTATGATGTCTCGGACCTATCCGTTTCATTCATCTGCTCTTCACTTTTTTAATTTCGCATTGATCACTTCCACAAGAAAGTCAAAACACGGCTGCAGCTAATTTTCCTGTGGCATCAGTTTCATCGTGATACCTTAGACACAAATTTTATAGATAACTGTGACCTATTGACAACTGAGGATAGCCGTTTCGATGGAGGGTGATTTGCACAATGTTAATGATATGGCAAAAAATGACCGGCCGTGAATCATTTCAATGACTGATGACCGTTGCCACGTTAACCGTTCCGAGTCAAATACTCAGTTATGGCTCGTCTATTTCTGTCACGTATTGATTACATGCAGCCGATTTCCGTTCGGAAATCACTCGTTGCTTCAACAACACTTAGCGGTCGCCCTTGGCGCTTGAGCGCTGATTTTTATCCACGTTGCTAATTTCTTAGCTCTTTCAGTCAGAACTGTCATACTGCGTTGAAACAAACCATATATGGCTCGTAGAATTGGTTTGAACATGTAATCACGTGTGCTACATCCAGTTCGGAGATAACCACAAAGCTCATCGCGTGCCACGTGGATCACTCCATGATGATTTTTTCCTTCTGTTTCTTTAATTCATCATTTCTATACGATTTCGCAGCAATTCTCGCCTTACTTCGTCAATTTTCCATTCAGAAATCGATTTCTGACATGAACGGCTGTAGTTTCAGCGTGAATCATGGAAAATTCCTCACCAGAGTTAGCGCAGCTAATGCACCACCTCCAGGGTTCATCATCTTCCCAACCATCAGTGCCTGAATCGACGTCGACTTCAACGTCAGGACTGTTGCCGAATGGCAAGAAAACCAAAGGTAAGTAAGAAAAAAGTAAGGGACTGCTGTGGAATGTGCATGATACCTTAAAATTTACTTGCTTCGTTTTATAGGAAAACAATAGATGTTATTTTTTAGGTCGTGTCAAGATAAAAATGGAATACATTGGTAACAAGCTAAGGCGGTACACAACATTTAGTAAAAGAAAAACGGGCATAATGAAAAAAGTAAGGAATGATACTTTGACAAATGTGTGAGTACAATTTTTAATCACTTAAATTGCAATACGCAGCACTTTTGCTTCGTAGTGTCGGGGGAATTTAATGACGCTGTAAAGCTCAAGAGCTCGACATAGGAGGTGAAGTAACTCGCCTTTGAAGTCATGAAATTCCATTTTCCAATGCAGAAGTTTCTTTTTATCCTAGGGTGACTGAACATTTTTAAGAAGGACAGCTTTAAATCCTTTGAAAGTGATTAGGAGTCTAATGGAAAAAAATGTCCAAAGATATTGATGTCGAAATCATCTTGGAACATGTTAATGGCTATTAAGACATGGAGCACATTTACGAATGTTTTCATCAAATTTAGGCATACGAGTTATCAACGTTAACGGGCACACAAGTGATGCTATTGGTGGCATCGGAAACCGGTCACGTCTACACCTATGCAACGAAGAAACTCCAACCGATGATTTCTTCAGACACCGGAAAAGCACTCATTCAGACATGTTTAAACGCTCCTGGAGGTAAGTAAGACTTCATGCCAGGGTTTTGCACTCCTCAAAGAGCATACCCACACTTGTTGAACTGAATCAAATATGTGTTGGCACAGCAGATTCCTACCTATCCACATGGTACTTCAGATTTTAAAGAAATGAAATAATTTCATGAGGTAGAAAAACTGTGAAGAACTGTAAATCACACGTTTATTCGTTTATTCAATGCATTATGGACCAGTGTAGACTAAGAGGACAGATGGATTAAATAATAGCAAGTTTCAAATATCCCTTCAAGGGTTAGTCATTTGAGGTCATCTTTTAATAGAATGCTTACATTTTGAATGGTTTGTTTTTACAAATCTTGAGTACCATGGTTTTTGCTAATATTTTCTCTGCCTCCCGATTGTCGTCCACTGTAGTGGTCAATTTCCAGCTTGGTGACGTCTTCATAAAAATAGTATAGCAGAGACATTGATATCACATAAACAGTGGTTGGATTGTCGATGACCACACTTAGTTTTGATAACCTCTGATAAAAAGAATAAATCTGGAACTGGTCGGATTTCCGACAATCTTCTATTCTTTCAGTAATTGCAGTTATGGTGTCTCCTCCCTACGAGTAATCGAGAGTATAGACTCAATTGTTATTAGTTTTATATACATATTCGCAGTATAATTAAGCGCAATTAGCTCATGCCTTTACACCGAATTGAGGTAGTTTTTTGGCGAAACCGGTTTATTACGATAACACTCCTGAAGAGAAAGACGTTTTCTTTACTTTGCTTGCCTTCTAAACCATTCTTCCCTTTATTTCTTCAGATGGCTCGGATCTGCAACCGAATCGAACCGAATTTACCTTCGAGACTGGGACAGCACCACCTAATCCACGAAAACGACGTGTAGCAGACACACCGGACGCAGCCGTGAGTAAATATATGCAGCGATTTAGAAGATTTCTTGCTTGCTAAGTAGTGTTTTTGGAAGGATCTTCTATAGCATTTTGGTAATCCCCACACTTAACCAGCGATTACCGTATACTGCCGGCCAATTATGGAACATGCATGCCCGCCCACTTCGGCAAACGCATGCGCACACACCGTACTTGGCTCCGGCCGGAGGAGAGGGGACGGCAGCGCGGTTAGCGATGTTAACTTAGAATTGTCATATTTGACGAGAACCGACTGAAAATCGATCAGTGCTATACCGATCAATAGTGAGTGCTTATAATGATGATCTTTTTTATGTTGGAATAATTAGACTTTGACTAAGCAGTACATGAATACTTGTTCATTTACGGATACTTAATTCTGAATGGACTAATCCAATAGGTACTAGGTAGTGTCTCTTGCTATTTAAACTGTCTACAGAGCGCCACTTTTTACAAATAGGGTCATTTTTACAAGTAAATACAAGAAGTTTACAAACAAAATTATTTTTTTCATGCTTGATTGTGTTGTTGTTTCTAATGGTATAAGAGTACTAACCATGGAAAAGATTGTAAAGAGTGAGGTTTACTTAATGTTCGATTATAACCCCTTATTTATTTTTGTCATTGAAATGTCTTCTTTTCACGTATCGCTAATAATCTAGCGTAATCCCCACTTTTCGACCAAACGTAACGGTTAAGGTGGTCCAAAGTGGGAGAGGACTTCAACTTTTCACCACTGGGCTGATACTGAGAACCACACGCGGATGGCAGCTTTGTTCACTTAGGAGCACAGTCCAGTGGCCTTTCCTTGCGTTATCATCTTTTTGTAATAGTACAGTCGGCTGATCTGTATTACGATAACGTATTTCATCCAGTTGCGAAGATGAGGTATTCTACGAATGTAAGGAGATGTTGGAAGTTTGACATAGTAAGGATCATAATAAATTGAAAGTGCGATATTTAGGGTCTTGTGCATACGCAATTTGTATTATGTAAGTTGATATCAGCGCTGAATAAGGACTTAGACGAAACTGCCAAGAGTTCGCTATGGCCTCGCTCGAATACCGCCCCAATGAAGTAATGATGCATTTTTCCGCCTCACCTATCACTTCCCGGAAGTGCGTTAACTCATATAGGGTGAAAATCGTAAATCGTACTTGATTTATTCGAAGCGTCCACTGTTTGAAGCTGTTATGAGGATCGGCGAAATCGATTGCCGTTGGGTGGAGTGGAGAGTGCTCGAGTCACAGCCATATGTGTGCACCATTCTGCCCTCTATGACATCACAGCATCGAACGAAAGCTTTTAATTTGGAACAAATCCTCTTAATGGGATGCAGGATATGCAGCCATTCGTACCTGCGAAGTTGTTTCGGAAAATATTTAAGGAAACTTCACAGCAGTATTTTTGCTGTTTCCAAATGACCTAGTTCATTGATGAATTTGTTACCGACTGTTGAATGGATTTCTTGAACAAAGTATACCTTTTCTATAAAAGGATAAAAGGGTAAAGTGCTCGGCGTTGATCACTCCCTGAAAGATGCGCCATGCATTCGACTTCGTTAAACATCGTTAGAGAGATCTGAATGCATATTTGGCCTATACAATGAGTCGCGCTGGACTACCGATCTATTGAGCCAGTGCTGCTATCCTTCCAGACAGGTCTGGTACCAAATTTGCCAAACCATGAGAGATGGAGGGCTTGGTGAGCCTGGGGTGTAGGACCGATGGAATTTGCATAGCGGGGCGCCTCTAACCGCTGTGCTACACACGCTCTCTTCTTTTACTATGGGGTATAAAAATCCGAAATTCAAAATAAAGTTCTGAAAAAACTAGCAGAATGTACTGAATAGTACAAACCTATACGAAAGCATGTATGTAGTAATCACTAGTAATGAAAGTCGAACAAATTCTTCGGGTTAATTATGGTAAAGTGGAGAAAACCATAGAACTATTGGCCTAGTTTCCAATATACGTTCACATTTTTGTATCACAGATTATTCATCGACAAAGATATTCAGGAGTCATTATTCCACCAATGGAACGTTCACCAAAAAAAAGATTTCTGTTGGGTGGACCATATTACTTTGAGTGTTCAAAGTACCAGCTTTATTTATCGACTTTTACTTCGCCAATACTTCCCATCATTCAGATGCTGAGTGCACAGCTATGAAAAAACTGTGGAAACTAGTAGACTGACCATCGTTTTGGTCCAAACATCTGTTAATGAACGCCTGTTCGACACGTGATTTGTGGGAAATTAAGCTATCGTTATTGCATGTTTTTGGAGACAAAATGTTCATACATTGAGTCAAGTGGGATAAAAAGTAGCGCAGAAATAAGTGAGAATGCATGCTCAGTGTGGAAAAGAGAAAAATGTAGCAGTGCGATGACAATGTTTAACTTACTGCCACTTTTTTTTCCACAGAACTTGGAGCCCGCGCTAAATTCGTACCCGAGATGATTGAGAGGAAAGCAAAATACGCCTCGGGTAACACGTGAACCCCCGGAGAGGCTAATCATGTATTCGAATGTGGCTTCGGGTCCAAGTACAACGATAGTCCTTTGTTATGCCATTTACACAAATCCCTTTTATGAAGAATTTCTAGCGTCGTTGATTACATTGTTGAGTAACTTTTTTTTTTGCTAGGAACATACGGATTTCTTATTCCTCAGCTTAGCATGAGTGGACTGTTGTGGAATAAATGCACATTTTGAAAGGGAGTGTTCACCAATTTTTAAGTCTCTACCAGTGTCCTCAGAAAGTGAAAAAACAGAGTGTTCGGATAATTTGAAATCGATAGATCCTGCTATTTTAGTTAACTTTGTTGCCCCAATTATATTTCGTTAATGGTGCTTTGAGCACTAACAGAGAAAAAAATATAGTCTAATTACTTATACGGAAGTCGCCAAAGGTTTCCTTCAGTTCTATGGCTGCTCTTAATCCTTTTCTGCTATTCATTAACACAGCATATTACTTTCCCTTTCCTGCAGTGCGGTTTCAGTTCACTCAACCTTTGCACTCCTATCACGTCCGAAGTTCGGACTCACTTTTGCTTCTGTGATAATATCACAGCCCGTGACATGTTCAGATTGGCTTCTTGTTTCGTTGCTCATCTGTGTAGCTACTGGATTTGTCACTTCCGTATTATTCTGTGCACTATTTCCCTATTTATATGAGAACAATCATTCTAAAGGGAAGCCCATTTATACCTCACAACTCAAGGACCGCTTGTATGTTTGTAGCATATTGCTCCTTTTACAATGCCGTTCACGTACAGAGTTGAGGAACTTCAGAAGTGCTTTTTGGCTGAGTAGGCCTGATTGACCGTGATTCTGTTTCTCAGAGCACCACGGACGGCACACACATGCTGTTGCTGCTCTTTTGACGCGAAGCTCTCTATGGCACTTTCGATAGTGTCTGTGGCTGAGTGTCAGTTGTCATGCTAGAGAGAGCAAGAGAGCGAACACCGTCAACCTAATTTGTTTTGGACCGAGCTCGTCTGCCTCCCAGCGCTAACAGACGTTTTGAGACGCATGATCTCAAACCTCAGCTGCTGTTGTCGACAGACTTAGAACGACAATAACATCGGAAAGAGATGAGCGAAGGCTATGGACTTCACTAGGTTGGTAACAGCGATTCTTTCACAGTTAACTGGAAATCTGGTCTAGGGGATTCTATAAGTAGGATGATGGAGGCATTCGTTTTAAGGATTTAAAAAACTAAATGAGCTAATGGGATACTTATTTACGCATGGAGTAGTCAGTTTTCCCTTCTATATAGAGAACATATTGCCTAAAAATTCATACAAGCTTTCTAATCCATGTGTCAGAAATTCTCACAATACTCTGAAACGACTGTAGGCAAAAAGTTGGAAGAAGAATGAGAGTGCAACAAAGCCCTAAAGTCGGGAGGCTTAATCAAGTCAGTAAAGCACACTTAGTACAATTTCGATTCTAGAGTTTTTGGTTAGCATCTATCTATGCATCTATCGCCTATTTAGCCGATACCATGAATCTACACGACCACACCAGAGATAAATCCTATAAATGACCGTCACCCATTCAAGTTTCTCTCCGAAACAGTCCTATGGGGAACTGTTCAGACCGTAAAGCAAAACTCGGTATTTGCATGTCCCCATGGTAACCAACAAGGGCGCTCGATATCGGCATAGTAAGCACTGTAGACGAGTCTCTCAATGAGTCGTACGCAATGATCGACATAATGACGAAACATCATCGGAATGGCATCAGAGTCGATCCGACTCTGTCTGCGTCTCTGGCGAGGACGGGCTGACCATACGCAGAGGAGGCCCTCTCTCTCCCTATTACACAATCTTCACGTGTTTCCAAATAGCTGGGCTCCTGTCAGGCTCTCTCTGGGGAGGCTTACACTCAAATTGGGCAGTGTAAAGCTGTTTTCGAGACTCCTTGCCGGGATCTTCTACGAATACAAAGAATGACGGGGCGTTTAATAGTGGTTAGAAATCTGATGCGAAATTTGTGGACTGTGGGGGGGGGGGGGGGGGTAAGCCAAATTAAGATGTTCCTATGCAGATTGTCTTCTATTTAGATCTTCTATAATTTCCCGTTATATTTTGGAGGTAGGAAGGGATAGAGGTTAGCGATGCAGTACTTCAGGAACTAAGGTACTGGTTCGAGCGTGTCCCCAACGCTCTTCTCTGATCCGCGTGAGAACGCCTTAGTTTGACTACCTCCAAGATTGCAAGTAGATTCAACTCGACCAACATTCTACGACATTTATTAATTAGGCGAAATCCTGTAACACCAGCTGAAACAATACGCAGTATGTTCGAGGACCTTTGTGAACAGTGAATACGAGGAGGAACGCGAATAGAATGCATGAGGTGCTGGGATCCACACGTTAGATGTGATGATGGGTCATGTCAATCGAATAGTGCAAAAGATCATAGAAAATATGTTCGATGAGATTTTCTATTTTCCAGACTTGCGGAGTTCTCAGGGGGATTAAATAGCTTGATGTGTAGTCGGACGTTAACATACGCCTTCTGGAACCGGTCTTGTTTGAGTTATCTTTCTCAACCTGCTTGCTGGAGGCACCTAGATGATGAGTGGAAGGGTTCGAAAGAGTTCATGAGCACTCTGTATCGCAGCATGGATTGTGTAGGCAGCACATCCCCTGAACGTTCTCGCAAAGCACTTTTGTTTTCTTTGTCGACGCGCGGCGCTTGCCGTTTGCGATTTTACGGAAGGCGGTGGCGACTTCCGGAACCGGTTGCGCCGCCCGGAGTGCGAGCATGGCGAGCGCTGCGCGTCGCCGCCGCCGTGCTGCCTCCACCGTCTGGCCGGCTGTGTGTTTAGTCAGGGAGAGTCTGCGAACACTTGCCGCGAAAGGACCCATCCTCCTCTTCCCGAGTCAAGAAGCCCATCTCTGCTGTCGCGATCCATCGATCGATCTGTCGACGCTTGCAATTAGGGGTTGCGTTTGAGGGTTCGAGTTCTCGCCGCTCTCACGTGAAAGAACCGTCGTCGACTGAACCTACTTTACTTGCACTGAATTTCAAAATGTTTATGACAGTTTCGAAAGCAACTGAAGTCCCAGGATCGTGAGAACTTATCCCAATGAAGATTAGCTGGTGTTCTTAATGTCTTGGAAAACGTCAGTTGAAAGTTGTTTGTTACGTTGGTTTCAACCGTGGTATCAAAGCACTTGAATAAGTTCAGTTTCTAGATTTGACAATGTTTTGTATACTTAATTAAACCGGTGGAGTCAAATGAAGAAAAGAGCAGATAGCTTGGAAAATACTATAGAAGTGCTTTGCGATACCGTAATTACGAGAAATTTGTCATTGAGGACTCTTAACACATTTACTCTTGTGATATCATGATAAATTTTAGACACATCAGATTTTCTGACTGCCTTAATGATGATAATCTCTATTCTACTTAATGTCCTTTTAGAGTAATAAAAGAAAATTTGAAGTCGCTGACTGGATACCGAAGCTTCCTCATGAAACCTTCGATTCAGAAGCGACGTGGTGTTAAGTCACAGAGATAAACTCACTTCTGAGAAAAACGAAAGTGGGGCTAACGGTTAAGG